GTAATATAGAAAATGCTTTTGGAACCACTTGCTGGCACCACCACCACTTATTACTGATAGTGGTAATTTACAGTCTTATAGATTCATTAAGTTGTCCCAGTAATAATGTTCAAAACATACTTCAACCTAGTTTACACTTGTGCCATATTTCTGTTTACAATCGTTATATATATTAATCAAATTTCAGGTTAGCTTATTGGCCCTGTCATATTCTTGTGGTCCCTAAAGGAGTTGAAAAGGAATTCTTCCTGAAGGAGTTAACCATTTCCTAGTGCTTGTTTGTTCAATTGGATAAAAATTATAAAGTAATTTATTTCTTATTTTTCGGTTTTAAAAATGAAAAAAAAAATTGTTCAGGTGAGCCTCACTGCCTCTGAGTATCTGATTTATTATGTAATTAATTGTTGCATTAATTTTCTAATCATTAACCATTAATTATCTAAAATAACGTATTAAAAACAGTACTGCGTCTGAGTACTCTCAGTTCTTTGATGAATTTCCTTATTGGCTGCTAGCTTCTACGCGCTTAGTGGCTGCTGTTATTGGCTGCTAGCTTCAGCCTGGTTTAACAAGATAAATATAATTGTTTTCGAGAAAAAAAAGGCCTTCAAAAACAAAATGTTGTCCAAACTCGACCAGTTGACCTAGTGAAAACGGAACAAATCCAACTTTATTAACCTGCAGGAAACTTTTTTTTATCCTGATTTTTTTCCCATCCATTACGAACTTTTTTCTTATTATTGAAAAAAAAGATCACCGATCTCCCTACATAATTTTTTGGAGTCGTGAAAGGCGGCGATGGATCTTTTTTTTAAGATAGCATAATTTTCTTTTTATTTACAGTTTATTTTTCAATATGATCTTATGCAAAAGTAAAATTCCATTTTTTTTCTGCCGTTAATTTTTTTTTATTAATTCTATTTCTATATATTCATTCTATTAATAATTCATTTGATTATTGTCAAAATTTTCACAAAGTTAACGAAATGTAGAAATTGAGATCAGCATACATACATACAGTCATGTAATTTTGCCATAAGCAGAACATTTAATAAAATATGAAAATTTTGCCATGATAATTCAAGTAAAAGAAAGTAATAATTGAAGGTTTTTATAGCCCGTTGTTTTATTTTAAACCAATTACCAGGTTAAAAACAATGACCACAGTAATTATCAGTAAATCTCAGCATCGACAGTACCTCAACAGTAATTATCAGCAATTCTCAGCAACGACAGTACCTCAACAGTATTTATCAGTATTTATCAGACTCAACAGTAAAAGGCAACAGTAATTATCAGTATTTATCAGAAACAACAAAAAATATCAGCAACAACAGTAATAATAACAGTAAATATCAGTATTTATCAGCAACAACAGCACATTATCAGTAATTATCAAACTTTATCAGTAAAATTTGGGATTCTCAGCACTTTTTTCGTCCAGTAGTGAGAGGTCTTGATATCATTATTTTGTTACAAAGATCATAATCAAAATTATATCTCATCTTATCGAAAAATCGGACGGAAGACCTACTCGTTGCTCGTAACGAGATCTCATCTAGTTATTATTAGGGTCTTCCGTTTCCAACGGAAGACCCTTCTATTATTCTATTGTGTCTTTTTCACTTTTATTCTTCTTTTTTTTCTTACAATTTTTGTGCAGAAGATTTCTCGGAGGAGGCTTGATGGATTTTGTTCAAATTTTCAGACTTTGTGTATGTCTATCTGAAATTTGTACCTCAGATTCAATTTTGAAAACATCACTTCCTGTCGTGAGTTATCGCCCTTTTAGTGATTTTTAGAGGGTCTCTTTGTCTTTAAGTTAACTCAAAAACGACATTAGCTAGAGAGCTGATATTTTCATCGATGATAGACGACACATTGCTGAATTGCACATTGGATTTAAATTTTTCAGTAAGGTCCAATATGGAAGTTTGGTAGGGGTCGAAATCTAGGAAACGATTCATGAGTGAATTTTTGAGACATTTTGTATCATATGTTTTAAAGTATAATTATTTTGTTTAATTAAACTGGACAAAATTTGTGCAGAATGAGAAGATCTTTAAAATGATTTCAAGAAAAAAGTGCTGACTCATCACATTAGGGGCCAAAATGGGCTAAAAGTCTTTTACAGATAACTCTGTAACAGTCAATATTTTCTTACACATTACTGAAGCAAAAATGTTTATCTCAACAATCTACAACTGTATATTATGATTTTAATGTAGTATATATCATAATTTGGGGCCCACAAGGGGCCAAAATAATAAAATCTTTGGCGCTTTATATTTCGAAAGTAGGAAATATTTTGATAAGTAATATTGAACAAAATATGTTCATTATAATGTTCTAAACAAAATGCAATCTTTCATTTTTCGCTTAACGTCCCCATTTAGGAGTTGAAGGGTTTGGCCTTAAATATTTCCATATATTTGGTGGTTCTATCTGAACAATTAAAGAATAAATCAATTTAATTTCTCAATCACAAATTTTAATTAGAAATATGTACAATATACCCTTTGTTTCTCAGGAGCACGCGCCTTTCAAGGACTGAAGCGCATCCGCTTCTTAAATTCTGTCAAACCAGTGTATGAAGGTACTATATATAAATTTATATAACCAACCAAAGTCTCGAAAGTCTATTTCAGACACGTAAGACTTATATAAAGTATCCCTTTCAGTACCTACCACGTTTGACCCTTCGGTAGACGTGTCTTCTAAACAGCCGTACAGACTAACTAAATCAACCCGACTGTCTCCGTATTTAAACATTACTTCAGGTCACATGACCTGCGAAGAACCAAATGGAACAAAGAAACCGGAAGTCAGTGCAACTAAAGAGAAACGAAGGGATAATTTGATCTCGATTACAGTTTTGCTTCACTACATTTTTAACGGGTCACAATAGTCTAGTGCTAGAATGTTGGCTTCGTGATTGGGAGGCCCACATTTCCACCTTAAACCTAAACAAAGGCATTGATTGTTTCTTTGTCAAGCTTTCGCACTAGAAGTGAAAGTCACGGATATGACCTTAAAAACGTAGGTCTCGTGTTACGGTAGGCGGTGCACGATAAAGAACCATCAATGTTCAATGACCCTGTGTGCCGAGTTTAGGTCTAAATTTGAAGCCCTTCATTGGCATACGGTGAAGTCTCTGTATGACGGAAAATTCTCAATTTGACGTAATACAGTATACAACTAACCAATTAATCAATAAACTTACATTTTTTTTTATCAGCAAGTATGTATTTTGAAGCTAAACGTCGTCCTTTATTATAATCAATAATCTTAAACGGAATAATATTTGTTTACGCTATTGTTGGTGGTTACAATACTTATTCTTTTCATCTTTCAGTAATTATTGTACAACCTAGGAAACTTTTGTAAATATTAAAGGTGTTAATAAACTTGTCAGTTTCATTTTATGTATTCTTTTTCCAGTTGTTAATTTACATTGTTGGATTTGCTACGATATTGTATGGTACCTTCGATGGCAAAGTAGTTCCCGGTACAAGCTTTCGGTTGGTTAATACGTCGAAAGGTATATTTTATTGGATTATGTAAGTCTTATAATATCGGGTAGGGTTTTTTAAATGTAACTTTGACACATATTACAAGCATCATTACAAACTTATGAGACTATATTTATGTACAATCAAAATCAAACAATATTAATTATAGTTGACTTTTATACAAAATTAGTGTAAAAGTTTATCAAGAGAGAGAGAGAAGGAGAGAGAGAAGGTAGAAGAGAGAGAGAGAGAAGGAAGGAAAGAGAGAGAGATAAGAGAGAGAGGGGGTAGGCAAGTTCCATCTTTACATACTGTGCCTTAAAACATATTCAGTTTTCTTTAAGCTTACCATATAAAAGACAGGCGGAGAGGGGGTAAAGAAAAAAAATAGTGCAGTGCAGTTTTGAGGGATTTACAAGGAACATCATAATGAAATTGTAAAGAAATAAAAAAACTTATGAAAATAATTTCAATGAAAATAAAATAATTTGAAATATTACAACCCATTTCTGCCAGAAAGTGTTAAAATCTGTCAAATTTTTTAACATCTTTTACTGTGTATTTCAAAGCTTTAAAATAACAATTAAGTAAATAAAAAAAAAAAAAAATTGAATAGATGAACAGATACTCTAACGACGGACTTTGTAAATATAATGTTTCATTAATATCAACATAATGTTGAAATATTCTGAATTTACGTTTTCGTCTTTTTCACAAAAATAAATGATTTTGCATTGAAATTCAATTCAATGTCTTAAGCTTGACATAAACATTTGAATTTTTAAAAAAAAAAATTGCTGAACACCATACAGTTCCAGAGTAAGTGATAAATTGTTTTCTCCTCATCTTTACAAAAAGTACAATACTTAGTGTCGGATTTACCCATTTTATACAGGAGACTATTTGTAGTTAGAATATGATGATAAACTCTGTATTGAAACTTTTGTAATTAACAACCCTGTGTCACGAGGAATGGAAGAGTATAAATTGTTTTTCATTGAACATCAGTTATTTCAAAATATCTAGCCCACTTTTTTTACCAGAAGGTTTGATAAATGGTTTATTTAGTATAACATACATGTACATAGCTTTTGATCCTTTCCTTGTAAGAATAAATATTTTGATATTATGAGTAGGATTTTATACATGTACATGTATGAGGAAGTGTGCACTGCACTTCTACAGATTTCATTTGGTTGTTCTATTTTTTTTTAAATCGGAGGTACTCCGAATAATCGTTTATCTTACGTTCACCGTTCGATTACCACGTTTGCGCTCCATTCGCGTTCTGCGTTTGCTCATCGTTTACCCTTCATCCATCTTTCACCGAAATGCCTTCATTGTTCAAACATCGTCCACTTTCCGTTCGCTCTTCATTCGTTCACCGTTTTTTCACCGTTCAAGTGGGAAAGTAGAACGTTTCAGGGATTATGTATCTAATGAAAAGGACATATAAAAATGTTTCTTTGATAAATGTTTACATTGTACCTCCATAGGTCCATCCAGAGAACACACTACCATCTTGATCACACACTGCCTTATCCACCTTTTGGTCAAGACGTTTAGAGGCGTCCACCACCACAACATAGAAAGCTCTCCTGGTCAGGTAGATCTGGTGACAGGCGTAGTACGCACACTGTCCTCCAAAGTCAAAGAACGTCAGAGTCTTTGAGTCAACATTTGTAGTAAATCCTTTCGCATTGTTGTCCTTGCTTTTCTTTGCTGAAAGAACCATCAGATGTTTAGTATTTCTACATTCTAAACTGATATATCTTAAATTCTATCAATAAAAAAATGGTTGGCATGTTACGAACACATTTAAATCATTTACCGGGAAATTTAGTCTTGCAGAAGAAAATTAAGTTTGATGATTTACCAAAACCTCTGATAAATATAAACTATTATTATAATTAACTATTGCATTCTCTGTATTTTTTTCTTATAATTGCTGAATAATCGTTTTAACACTAAAGTATTCATTTGCAATAATTCATGACCAAGAGAATGTTTTAAAAGGTACTATAAACTCCAGGGTTAAGGTCAAAGGGTAAAGGTATTTCAAGAAAGGCCTTGTCAAAAAGATTACATATGGGGAGTATTAAAACCGTAGCCCTAAGCCTAGAAAGGTAATGCCAAAATTAAGATTTATTTTAAAGTAGTTCAAACTCCGAGGTCAAAATCAAAGGGTCATGGTTGTTGATTTCCAATGAAAGGTCTCGTCAAAAGGATTACATATGACTGAGAAGTATGAAAGTCATAGTCCGTACTGTTCAAAGTAATTACCAAGAACAAGGTCAATATCAAAAAATCTAAGCTCTTGGTATCAAATGAGAGATCTAATCAGAAGGATTATATATGTGAGGTTTGAAACAGTACTTTTCACTGCTCAAAAGTTATGACCAAGATTAAAGTTTCTCAAAAATATGTCAATCTCAAAGGTCAAGGACAATAGGTCAAAGTTGTTAGTATCCAATGAAGTTCTTGTCCCAAAAATTACATAATGATGTGATGCGTGATAATCCCACATGTAACCAGTCATTTAAAAGTTATGGCCAATATCAAAGTTTGGAATTTTGGTGTAAAAGTGTTTCAAACACTGAGGTTAAGAGGTCAACTTTGGTGGAACCAAAAGAAAAGTTTTGTCACAGGAATACACTTTGAAAACATGAAATCCAAGTTTCAACCAGTAATAAGTTAAAGGCAAGGTTTTTGTGGACAAAAAGCAGAAAAACAGCTAGACAGACAAAAAGACACACGGACAGCTCAAAAGCTAGACAGATTGACGGACAGGCAGACAGATCCGTCACAAAAAATATAGTTAACTGTAGTTTACTATAGTTAACTATAGTAAATCAAAGTGTCAAAATTTTCGTTTCAGTTTTTCAAATTGTCAAAGATTTCGATAAAGTTTTTTCAAAGTGCGAAAGTTTTCACCAAAACTTTTTAAAGTGTCAAAGTCTGAGCCAAAGTTTTTCAAATTGTTAGATATTTCGATAAAAATTTTCAAACTGTCAAAGTTTTCACCAAAGTTTTGCAAGTGTCAAAGTTTTCGATACAGATTTTCAAAGTGCGAAAGCTTTCGCCAAAGTTTTTCAAAGTGTCAAAGTTTTCGACAAGGATTTTCAACGTGTCAAAGTTTTCGATATTTTTTATTCTAAGTGTCAAATTTTTTAATAATTTTTTTTCAAAGTGTCAAAGTTTTTGCCAAAGTTTTTCAAATTGATAAAGTTTTCATAAGATTTTCCCAAAGTGTCAAAGTTTTTCGATTTAATTTCAAAGTGTCAAAAATTTTGATCAAGTGTTTGAAAGTGTAAAAAGCTTTTGATAATCTTTTTCAAAGTGTTAAAGTTTCGGTATAGTTTTTCAAAGTGTCAAAGTATTCGATAAAGTTTTTCAAAGTGTCAAAGTTTTTCATAAAGTTTTTCAAAGTGTCAAAGTTTTCGATAAAGTTTTTCAACGAGTTAAAGTTTAACAAAGTATCAAAGATTTTGATAGAGTTTTACAAAATGTTTAAGCTTTCGGTAAAGTTTTTCATGAAAGAGTTAAAGTTTTTCAATTATATTTTTCATAGTGCCAACGTTTTTTGATAAAGTTTTTGAAACTGTAAAAAAAATTCGAAAAAGTTTTTGAAATTGTAAAAAGTTTTCGATAAAGTTTTACAAAGTGTCAAAGTTTTCAATAAAGTTTTTCAAAGTGCATAAGTTTTCGCTAAAGTTGTTTAAAGTGTCACACTTTTCGCTAAGTGTTTTCAAAGTGTCAATTTTTCGATTAAATTAAAAAAAAAATTGGAAAGTGTAAAAAGTTCTCCATAAAATTTTTTTCGAGGTGTCAAAGTTTCGATAAACATTTTCAAAGTGTTAAAGTTTTTGATAAAGTTTTTCAAAGTGATAAACTTTTTTTCGAGGTGTCAAAGTTTCGATAAACATTTTCAAAGTGTTAAAGTTTTTGATAAAGTTTTTCAAAGTGTCAATGTTTTCGATGCAGTTTTCCAAAGTGTCAAAGATTTTTCAAAGTATCAAAGTTATTGATAAAGTTTTACAAAGTGTCTAAATTTACGATAAAGTTTTTGATAGTGTCAAAGTTTTTCAAAGTGTAAAAGTTTTCGCAAAGTTTTTCACAGTGTCAATGTTTTCATTAAAGTTTTCAAAAAGTCAAAAGGGAAAGGTATAGAAATAAGAAAAGGTGGAACTTGGTTTATTATTGAAAAGTTTAAATCCAAAAATAGTCTCATGACCAATCATGGATTTGCTATTCTTTAGAAGAAGATTTTTTAAAGAATTTTCCTATATATTTCTATGAAAAACTTTGGTCGGCCATTTTCGCCCTACCCTACCCCCGGGGAGTCATGATTTTAACAATCTTGAATCTACACTATCTGAGCATGCTTCCATTTAAATATTATAAATTATGGCTTTGCTATTCTTGAGAAGAAGATTTTTAAAGATTTTTCCTCTATATTTCTACGGGCCCGGGTTCGATTATCGTTCGCGGCGCCGCGTCATACCTAAGACGTAAACAAAGGTAGTGTCTGTTCCTTCGCCAACCGTTCGGCCATGGAAGTGAAAGTCTCGGGTCTTTCAGATATGACCTTAAAAACGTTGGTTCCGTGTCACGGTTGGCGCTGGCATGATAAAGAACCCTCACTGCTCAATGGCCCTGAGTGCCGAGTATAGGTCTAAATTTGAAGCCCTTCACCGGCATACGGTGACGTCTCCATACGAGTGAAAAATTCTAAAGAGGGACATTAAACAATATACAATCTATCAGATATATTTCTATGAAAAACTTTGGTAGACTATTTTGGTCCCGCCCTATCATCCAATGTGTCATGATTTGAACAAACTTGAATTTTCACTACCTGAGGATGGTTCCATATAAATATGCTGAATTTTGGCTTTGTCAATCTTTTGTAGAAGATCATTTTTTTAATTTCGCAAAAAATAATTTTTTTTATTTCTATGTAAAACTTTTGTCAGCCATTTTGACCTAACCCCCCCCCCCCGGGGGGGGGGGGGGGGTGGCATGATTTGAACAAACTTGAATATACACAAACTGATGAGGCTTCCATATAAATATTTTGAATTATGGCTTTGTCTTTCTCGAGAAGAAGACATTTTTTTTTTAAATTCCTATATGTTTCTATGTAAAACTATGGTCAGTCATTGTGGACCAGCCCTACCTCCCAGGGTCATGATTTGAACTTGAATCTACCCTACCTGAGGATGTTTCCATATAAATATGATGAATTATGGCTTTGTTTTTCTTGGGAAGAATATCTTTAAAGAATTTTCCAATATATTGGGTTCTTTTTGAGAAGATTTTTAAACTGTGCCACCGAATTTTCATAAATTCCCAATTATCTTCCCTTGAATGAGTACGTGGCACTTCATTTAAAAAACATGAATCCTCTTTAACCAGGAATGCTTTGTTGCAAGTTTGGTCGAAATTGGCCCAGCGGTTCTTGAGAAGAAGTCTAAATTGTGAAAAATTTTCAGACAGACAAACGTACAGACAGACAGCTAGACAGACATGCGGACGCCGGACAAAATGTGATCAGAAAAGCTCACATGAGCATACGGCTCAGGTGAACTAAAAGTATGTTTTATTGAAACAAAAATCATTTGTCTTTTCTTTTTACTTAGAAAAACGAATTAATATAACTGTTACCTTTTAATGATCTTGTTTCTTCATATATATCAAATATTTCCTCATGCACCTCTAGGCCCTCAGTAGATTTTACTTCCTTAATCTCTTCTTCAGTACATCCGAGCAGACGTTTAAGTAGCGTGGTTTTCCCCGCCCCAGCACATCCTACAATCATCCCCCGGGCGTGGTGGACTGTCTGTGTTCCTCTCTTAGCGTACTCCACATACCGCTCTTTGGCCTCCTGATCCCATAGTAGTACTTCTCTAGGGACTCCCACTGTATCATTAACCAATTACCGATATCATAGAAATGAAACTGAACAAAAATTATACATTTTGGTCTCTTTTCTTTCACAAGCAGACTTTTGTATTCAAGATAAATATAAAAATATAATGAGTTTTTGTTCTTGTAAAGTTCAAATACTTTAGCTTAAATAAAAGCTTAAGCTATATTTGTTTTAAAAGCTAATTATTAGACCAAAATATTTGATTTTATAAAAAGGTTATTTTTAATATCTGTCATCGTCTGAAGCCTCGGTTCAGATTTCCAAAATAGTTTTCCTACTTGCGACTGCTTGATCACATAAATTGTGGTAATCTTGAATATTTACCCTTGCATGTTGTGATGTCATGTTAAACCAAAGACAATATTTAACAAAATTTTTGTGAAACACTGATGCCCCCGTAAGGCAACATAGCGAAGCTTAACCTTTCTCAAACGCAGATCAAATATGTCGGTACCTAAAGAATGGTCTTTTCAGAAGAAATACAAATGTTTAATACAGAAACCTATCACCACCTGTTTATGACCAAGGTTAACATCTTATAAGATAGGATAAACTCCGGGTCAACGTCAAAGAGTCAATGGTCATTGGTCTGAAAGATTACATATGGGAAGTATGAAAACACTGGCCCTTACCATTCAAACGGTATGGCCTTTGTTGAAGTTTGTAAAAAGTAGGTCAAACTCCATGGTCAAGGTTCTTGATATCCAAGGAAAGGTCTTATCACAATGGTTTACACATGTGAAATATGAAAGTTCTAGCCCCTACTTTTCAAAAGATATAGTCAAGGTTAAATTTTGCTAACAGTAGGTCAAACTCCAAGGTCAAGGTCTAAGGACAAAGTTTTTTATATCAAATGAAAGGTCTTGTCACAATTATTTAAAGTGTAAAGTATATATGCCCTAGTCCCAACCCTTCAAAAATTATGGTAAAGGGTGCATTTTTAAAGTAGGTTAAACTCCAAGGTCAAAGGTTTTAAGGTTCAAAGGTCTTGGTATCCAATGAAAATTCTGTTTTCAAGAATTATATATGAGAAGTATTAAAGCCTTGTGCAATTTGAAGCCTTGTGTCATTTTCACCGATCCAAACTTTATTATTGAGCTTAGTTTCCTGTTCAAAAAAAAAATATCCATGTTTTATCAGGAGTTATAATCTCATTTATTCGCCTTTGGTAACATATCTTCATAAATTGTTCGTAACTGTGAGGCAATTTTTACCCAGGTGTGCTTTTTATCTTCCGTGCATCTAGCACCGACTTTCCTGAGCTTTAAGTCTTCCTTTAAAATACGAAAAACTGCTGAGGAATCAATGTTAGTTAAGTCTTCTATTTCCTCAGATGTATATCTAGCATTATCAGCTGTTGTATTTTAAACAACAACGATTTCTTTTTCGCCAAATGCACAAACTGGACGCTCCAAAGGGGGTCATCTTCAATTGATATTCTACCGTCTTTAAATCGAACAACTCACCTTGCTATTGTTTGATATGAACGAGAGTTCTCTCTATATACTACGTATAAATCGGCTTTCGTTTCCGTTGCCTTAAAGCCAAGCAATGAGCGAATTTTTACGCCCAGTATACAGAGTATATTTAACTAGTACTAATTGTAACGGGAACCGTTACAGATGTTCCCCAAGCGCTCCCCAACTCCCTTTTCGTGCCATGTTCCCTGTAAGTCTTATAAAACAAGACAACCTATGTGCATTTTTGACTTTTACAACGTTTTCCGATATAGATACGAATTATATGTAAATTTTAGCATGGTACGCATGCGCACATGAATGCATGTGCGTAATGATCATGTCATCTTGTCTACACTTTATATATATCTAAATATACTCTTTGTTAAAGCATTTAGTTCAAAAGTAATAAAAATCACTCATTCAAGTGTATTTTTCATGTCACTCGTTCCAAATGCACGCACGTGCGTGCACGTGCATGATGACCATTCCTTCTTGTAGGAGGCCCTTGTTGCTATCTATGTTCTAAATCCCATCCCGTTTCGATGAAAACCGAGGGAGTTACAGCCATTTAAATTTTAAGCCAATCAGATTGCAGCGCACGTGCATCCGCGTGATTTCATGAAATTTTTGGTATATCATTTTGCACGCTATGCTAAAGCATTAGTAAGTTTTAAATTTCAAAGGATTTCGTCAAAACACAAGGGAGATATAGACATTTAAAGTTTCAGCCAATCAGATTGCAGCACACGTGCATGCGCGTGATTTTTTGAATTTTATTAATTCATATTGCAGGCTATGCTAATGCATTACTATGTTTTAAATTTCATAGCATTTCGTCAAACAACAAAGGAGATACACATGTACCGAGCTTACATACTGGGCACTTCCGGAAGACATCCTGAAATTTGTGCAACATGGCATCATGTCCTCTATCATCCCTGAAAATTCAGCGCTCTAGCTTGAGCCGTTTCTGAGTTTACTCACGGACAAGGAGGTCCTCTAAATTTCGATCTAAGGGCGATAACTTCCAATCGGAAGTAATTTTTTCAAAATCGATTTGCCGGTACAAACTTCAGATCAAGACACGTTACCTCTGAAATTTTGAACCAAATCAATCAACCCATCTCCGAGAAATCTTCTGCACAAAATCGTTAAGGAAAAAAAGAATAATAACTAGAAAGTCTGCTATTGCAAGCAATAGCATATTTCGCCCCGTACTGGACAAGATTTTCATTTTTATCTACACTAAAACAATGATCCATTAGCTAAGCTCGGACAACCATGCAGTCGTATCAGTCCTTTCTGTTGGAAACGGAAGACTTTAATTAGGTACATCCCACTAATTATTTTTAGAATCAGAAGGAGAAGAAAGTAGTGCAGGAAAAAATTACAAGTTCTTTAATTTGCAGACTTGCATAAAAGAAATTGGGCAGATGTACTGAACTGAACCTCATACTTGTAAATTGGCAGTATCTTTCCTACCAAAAAAGCTTGGCAAGTGTAATTTATTAAGAAGATCAGCCGAATTATTTTGTGTATTATAACGCCAGTGAGAACTCTGAAATTTCCCTACTTTCACTTTCATTTTTAGAGGGAATCTGATCGCACACCCGCAGGAGCGGATCCAAGGATTTATGAATGAATAACAACTATGGAAATGACGAATTTTCTTATTTATACTTGCACTTTCTAATGAAATGAATAATATACAAGTAATAGATATACAAGAAAATGCGAAATGATAATAAATGCAGCTGACAATCGTTATTTTTTTTTTATATAGATAGAATAAAATAATTATAAATTCAAGAGACAAAACAGAAGGAGAATGAATGATGGCAAAATATCACATGACAGGAACTGAGTTTTATGAATGAAACTTTTAAAACGTTACTTGTATGTTGTATATGTTATATCTGTGTATTCTACCTGGCTGTGCGCTTCAAAGGGGGGGGGGTCGTCTTGAGCATAGTACCTTAGCCATAACTTTTGAACGGTAAGAGCTAGGGCTTTCGTATTTCAAATATGTAATTCTTGTGAAAAGAACCTTTATTTTAAATACGAAGAACTTTGACCCTTTGACCTAGACCTTGGAAAACACATGTGTACATCTTAACCCTTTTTTCTGTTTCGTTTCTATGGCAACTGTGAACGACTCATTACAATTATTTTAAAAGTAGAAATCACTTTGACACATAGCAAGGAATAAACATTGAAAGTTTCAAAACGATTGCTTGCGTAGTTATTGAGAAAATCGAAATTAAAGAATTTTAACTTTCCCCTGGTTTCCATGGCAATAATCGATTATTTGAAAATTTTAAATGCGAATCGCACAACTACAGATACTAATCATTAAAATAAGAAAAGTTTCATGACGAACGTTTAAGGGACCAGAGAGAACACACGCGGACAAAATTCGTCAAAATTCGTCGCCTTTTACAGGTTTCCATGGCAACGGTAGACATATTGGAACTGAACGACCTCACTGCACAACTACAAACAGTGATCGTCCTTTGAGGAAAGTTTCAGTGAGATTGTCCCAGCCATCTCCGAGAAACAGCCTAGATAAAAAAAACATGCGTACAATATCAATATGTCGTCCCCGACTTCGTTCGGGGCGACATAACTAGATGAGATCTCGTTGCGAGCAACGAGTAGGTCTTCCGTTGAATTTCTCGATAAGATGAGATGTGATTTTGACCGAAATATTCGTTAAAAGAAAATGACATTAAGTTTTTCTTCATTAAATTTAATGTTTCTCATTTTTATCACGATATTCTGAACATCTTTTGTTCAATAAGGCTTATAAAAATACTCACCCTTTTCGAGACATAAAGCATAAAAATATAACATTTTGGTCCCTTGTGACCCCTTATTACGTTACATATGATAAAAATTTTATCATATATTGTTGCAAATCGTTCAGATGAACACTTTTGCCCAAATAATATTTAATAAAAAAATGATTAGAGAGTTATAGACTTCTGGCCCCTCTGAGTCCCTAATATGAGGGGTCAGCCCCATTTTTCTTGATTTCAAATGAAAGGTCTTGTGATTTTGAAGATTTTTTGTTCAGCACTTTTTCAGATATTTCTATTCCTTGTGGAGATATGCTGAAAGAAAATATTTAGGGGCCACTCCTACAAGTCTTTAATGGGGCCGTTTTACAAAAATTCAAAGTATGCATATTGTTGAGAACATTATTCTGACCATCTTTTGTTCAATATTGCTTATCAAAATATTCCCCCTTTTCGAGATATAAAGCGTCAAAGATGTGACATTCTGTGACCCTTAATTACGTAACATATTATCAAAATAGTATCATATAATGTTGCAAATTGTTAAGATAAATACTTTTGCCTCAGTAATGTATAGCAAAATATTGATCATTAGAGAGTTATAGATAAAAGACTTTTGGTCCCTCTGAGCCCCTAATTTGAGGGGTCAGCCCCATTTTCTTGATTTCAAATGAAACGTCCTGTGATTTTTGAAGATTTTTTTGTTCAGTACTTTTTCAGAGATTTCTATTCGTTGTGGAGATATGCTAAATGAAAATATTTAAGGGCCACTCCTTTTAGTCCTTAATGGGGCCGTTTTACAAAAATTCAAAGTATGCATATTGTTTAGAACATTATTTGGACCATCTTTTGTTCAATATTACTTATCAAAATATTCCCCTTTTTCGAGATATGAAGCGTCAAAGATTTGACATTCTGGCCCCTTGTGACCCCTAATTACGTAAAATTTGATGCAAATTGTATCATATATTGCTGCAAATCATTAAGATAAATACTTTTGCTTCAGTAATGAATTACAAAATCTTGATCATTAGAGAGTTATAGATAAAAGATTGTTGGCATCTTTGAGCCCCTTATTTGAGTGGTC